GTTTTCCAAGCTCACATTTTCCAACATTATATGTCTATTTTTAAGTTCTGGTTCTAATTACACATTTACATATTTAACAATTTTGCTTAGCACAATTTAAGTTTATTTCTAACATGTTCAGCATTTCACACATTTCCCAGTCCAACAGCAGAATCTTTAATGTGTGTTCTTTCCAAGATACTTGAGGGTACCAGGGAAAAATCACAGGATATTTTCTATGTGCTTGCTTACAGAGTTAGTGGGAGAATTTTTGATATAGTATTCCCACTAATAGGGTACAGAATATTCAGGCCCTTGAAAAACATGCCAATGAGATTTCACTGTAGTAAATGAATACAAAAAAGTATTTTAATTTTTAAATTGGAGAAGTTATGCATCATTTATTTTCTTTATGATCATGTTCAATATTTCAATATTGTTAGGGGGAAACCACAGATAAGGGGTAACAGTGCAGAACCCATTAACACATTAATTCGTCCCCTATTCTTACAAAAACAGATTGTCTCTGCTTCTTTTTTTATCATGACATTTAGTTTATTACGCTCACACATTCTTTTATTTCATAATTATTAATATTATCGAGATGAAAACTATTTAGTTTAAAGTACAGGAAAAATTAAAATTTTATATGTACAAAGTACTTCATCACTTGGAAAAAAAGAGTGAGAGAGAGACTGATATTTTGAGCTATGTAATACTTGAATGTTTGTTAATTACATAAGGTTTCTAAACAATAATGCTAGAAAAGAAAACAACAACCTGTAGTTACAATTACAGAGTCAGTGTCATAACAGTAGTAAGAGATTGATCTATATTAAATCACTTGGACTGTTGCAAAGGTATGTTACCCACATGCACTAACTTATTGTTAAGTGAAATCCATTTCTCAGTCACAATTCCAAAGAACAAAATGCATGTAAAGATAAAAAGTTGTGAAAGACTTGAGAGATCTTATTTTGAAATCTGTAGATATGACAATGTACATCAGAGTTCAAATTCTCTTCTGAAAATACATGAAAAATAAAATGAATACGTTACTTGAGAAGCTTAGCATAATTTGACCTTATCACTTCATTGCGGCAATTCTCGTAGTAATATGTCAGCCTAAAATATTTTCAATCAGATTCAATGAAAAAAATTCAAGGCACAATAATATAATATTTTAGAAAAATAAGTATATATCAATTCCAATAGAACCAGCAATAACAATTATATAAAAAATTCTCTCAGTTACACAAAACTCACAAAAAAGTCTGACAGGTCTTTTTCCATGAAATAAAAAAATTGATTTTTAGGAGTTAGACATTACTAGGAGAATTGAAAATAATGAAGTAGCCCAAAAAATGCAATCCAAAATATTAGTAACTACAAAAAACATTCAAATATTGTAACTCTTAACAAATGTGTGTACTCACATAAAATGATTCGAAATGTGATCACCGAAAGTTCCCATTAAGTATTGTTTACAGAAGTCGTACACAGGAAGTTCAACTGCTGCAATAACAGCTGCTCGCTGGGCAGTGGGACCAACTCCCTACGCACAAACACATTATAAATTTAAATACTTCAGCAAATTATATCATTCAGCAGATAATAGTAGAAATTAAGCCCAAATTTAACACTGCTACAACATATCATCACTGGTCCGAAAGAAAAATTTTCAGGAGCTAGCTATGTTCAAGTTAAGGTATTTCCTGTTGTAGCTGTGGGATCCCAAATATCATAAAATTGAAACAGCAGTAACTAAAAAAATTCATAATTATTAAAAATGTGGTCAATTTGCAGCCAAGGTGACAAACTGTTCACTATAATGAAACCAGTACATTTAACAATGCAAATAAAATATAAAGCATTCAAAATGTTGATAAAACTTCATTACACGACATTAAGAGACAAAACAAATGAAATTTGAAAATTTTGTTCAATAATATTTTTAAGTAGGATGTAATCCTCCTAGCTCCCAAAAATTCAATTTACTCAAATTAATAGCACCTAGAATCACCCAAAGATAATTCACAATGGGAAGATTATCTCATAACACTTATGAAATTACCACTAACAGCATTGAACTATAACTTGTCGCTATGCGACTTGGGGAATTTATTGGAAATTTCCAATACAGAGTAGTATGATAATCTTTAGTTATTTTTTTCACATATTTGTAGACATTGAGAGAACTTTTTAAATCATCTAAGGTTTTGTAAATTGACCAGACCAATTGTAGTTTCCAGCATGTTCAATGCCTCCATACTTCTAATTACTTTCTAATTTCCTGAAATATTTTTTTAAAATCAAATGTCAGAAACTTGTGGTGAAGTAAAAGATTACCAAGGAATGAAAACGGTCAAGGAAAAATAGGCTACTGATTACAAGTGCAAAAATGTTACATAGGATGATGAAAAATGAAATAAATTCTTAACAAATAATGAAGACCATCTCACCCTCCAAAGTCCTCCCACACCTTCTTGTTGGTACACATCCAGAAAGCAACTAACAAGGCCACGATGACTCTGATGTCCCAACACTTGCATTCGCACTTTAAGCACATCAGTAGGGTTTGCAATTGCACTTGATACCATTCCTGCAACCACAGCACAGCAAACATTGACTGCAACATCTTCTTTCTCCCGACCTTGACTAGCTATTCTCTTCAAAGAGTAATAAGTTCCAAATTTTATCGTTCCATATGTTGCTTGTCTTAAAACAGCAGGCCAAATTCTGGAACATTAAATATTTATTATGTTTAATTTTTAAAGAAGTAAAATAATCTAAACAAATTACCAATTATTCTGTACCTACCCTGAATATAAGGCCTTTACGCCCTCTTGCTTTGAGATCTGAAGTAAAGCATCAGTCATTCCCCGATATTTCAACTCTGCATGCTTACTATCTATAATCTGTCCCTGGATTTGGAGACGTGTTTTAGTAGTGTCAATGGGAAAAGTCCCTGTAATAATATAATAAAACATTATAATTAGAATTTAAAATTTTTCTTTATTTCTAAACCATAATCGTGTCGAAAATTTGAATCCATGAAAAATTAAACTAGTTATAATTTTAAACACGTCTGGTATTCGCAATTTTAATAAAAAAATTAAAAAATCAAATTCCACGACTATAATTGACTATTAATTTAAATTTTATAAATAGTAATTATGAAATGACAACGTAATCATTATTAACAATGTAATTAACCAATTATTTTTTTAAAATTTTTAAGTTACTTAGCAAACATTACACTTGTTTAATAAAAGTTACAGACCAAATTCGGCCGTGCACGATGCCAATCCTCCATATACGAAAGGCCGCCAATCCCTCCGACCCATTCCACTGGGTTCCGAGCCTGTTTCGGGGGGCACCCTCGATTCCTCTGGTTTTGAAGCCCTAACAACAGAGATGTCTTTCGTCAGTCTAATTATCGCACATGTAAAGACGTCAGCATGTTTAATCAGGCAAATCTCTGTAAGTACGCAAGAAAATATCGCAACAAACAAATAAAACTTCAAGCGACAATTAGAGAAACAGCATAATTCCAATGTGTCAATGACCACACTTAAATGCAAATAATACGTCACAATTTTATTAATATTTTAAAATAAAAGAATCATTGAAATGCTCAATTACACTTTATTGCCGGCAGATCATGCAACAAAATCCTAACCAATCAGAGACAACTTCAAATCTTCGTCACTAGAGCACGGTACTTTCCCATCTCCGAATTCTCTTCGATATTCAGCAAATCGACTTTTACAAAATCGACTATCCTGTGGCCATCAAAGCTCGATAGTGTACATCGATTTTAGTGTTGTTATGAAGTGCGTAGCTTTTGTGCGGTATTTGTAAATTACTTTATATAATAACTGAAGTTTTGATTTTATATTCTTTAGCAATTGAATACCCTACGATTCGTAGCCATTTAAAAATATGACAACTCAAAAGAGGGGTGTTATTTAGTTAAAGAGATCTTCTTTGTGTTCTATATTTAGCCTATGACCTCCCACTACGCGGAATTCGGAAATGTCAAATTACAGTGGGCAAGGCTCTGTAGTTGGAAATGTAGAATAATAATAATAATTATTGGTGATTATATAAATGAAGGACCAAACCGATGTAACTTGTTGTATTTTAGAAATAAAAACCATAAAAATAAATATTTTGTGGAATGATTTTGTCAGTAAGCTTTGCTATTATTCCCTGTAATGAAATTTGAATGGATGACATCACTCTGGAATTCATATTGCTTGCAATTTGTGTCAACCCAGTGAGTGTCATTAATATTGTCAATTTTCTAATGATTATCAGTTAAGTGAGGATCATGGGTGTAGGAAAGTTGGGGAATTTTGTTGAACACAAGAAACAAAAATTCTCACAAATTCGTAAACAACATTTAGATGTTAAAGTTTTATTTTGTGATCCATTATTTCCACCTGATACCACAAGTATAGGTGATTTTTCTGAATTACCAGAACCTATTGAATGGAAAAGACCAAAGGTAAATATGAATAAATCTGATGAAGGCATAAAAAGAGAAAAATATATATTTGTATATAATCCATATTACTTTGTTTTAGGACCTCTATGAATCTCCTCGTTTGATTGATGGGGAATTAAGCCCAGAAACAATAATTCCTGGTCCTCTTAGTAGTGGTTGGTTTGTTGCAGCATGTACTGTTTTAGCAGGAATAAGTGAACTTTGTCATAAAGTAAGTACATTAACCATAGTTAAAAGGATACCTAATATTTCAAATATTATAGCAATGTATTTTATTTCTGAGTTTGTGTATTAACAAAGTGTTTATCATGTTTCTTTACATTTACAAAGGTAATTCCAGATTACTGGAAACAAGAATGGAATCCAGAGAAAGGAGAAGAATATGCAGGAATTTTTCACTTCCATTTTTGGAGATTTGGTCAGTGGGTAGATGTAGTAGTGGATGATATTTTGCCAACATTTGAAAATGAGATAATTGGTACTCATTCCACAAAACCAGGGGAGTTTTGGATATCTCTTGTTGAAAAAGCATATGCAAAGTAAGAAATACTAAAATATAAATTTTTAGATTACAGAGATTTAAGGTTTTAGTCATAGATTTTGGTTGGAATTTATTGTATGAATACCATTTTAAACTGTTTATCACAGATTACATGGCTCATATCAAGCTCTGTCAGGTGGACGTTTATCTGATGCTTTAGTCGATTTTACTGGTGGAGTTTCTGAAGTATTAGACCTCAAGTCTGGTGATTATGCTGGAAGCAGTGATGAACAAGCAGGATTATATTCTTTTCTGGATCGTGAAATAACCCATCATTGCATTGTGTGTGCCTTGGTGAATGTGAGTAATAAATATCTAAATATTTTATGTATTAAGGATAGATGATGGTTTCTGACTATTTATAAAATATCATTGAAACAAAACCTTGAAATTGTGCCACTCTTGAATCAAGAATCACTCTCCAGTCCTGCATCCAACAAATTTAAGACAAAAAATAGAGTATACAGATTAAGTCAGCCACAAACAGATTATAATTGTGCATAGCGTGGTAACAATGCATCTTAGGCCCTTAGAGTCAGTTTTTTATGTCCCAAAGCAACACAAGTTTTGTGGGGGCAGTTGAGTTATTTGAGAACATGAGTGTGGAAGGGAAATGAAAAGGGTAAGTGGGGACATTTGGAGAAATGGAGGACATGCAGGGACAGGATTTTTCTTAAACATTGTTCTACAAAATGAGATCTTTTTGAACTTTCTATTTAATTTTAGGAGATTTAGCATTTTTGGTGTTCCTTATTGTGGGTGGTCAAAGAGTACACAACCCAAAATGTTTATATAATTAATTTGAAGGAAAAATACAAAATTAATCTTTCATAATTAAATTAAAGGAACTTGATTTTCTGTGGAATTTAATCTGAGTAATAAGCAACATAGCAATATTGAGATGGCACACTTCCAGGCCTGTAATGCTATAACACTTAGTTAAGGGATTGGCCATTTGAAGTTGGGTTTTACAAACAGTCATTTTCATTTTTAAAACAATTTTTATTTACAAAGTGCAAATTTTTTGCACTGGTTCAGCTAGTTATATTTTATTTTGAGTCTTCTGGGTAAAACATTCGTGAGTTTGGTTTCAAAATGAAGAAGTACATTAATATACACATTATACTAGTAGCATGACAGCCCCAAATAAGAAAATAAGTGTAGTTGTACCACCAGCCTTCCCAGTCAGCAAGAAGGTACCATGCTGTACTTGATACTAGATTTTCCACTGTTGTTGTGAAGAAAAAGATGGTGTAGATTAAATAAACTTTTTTGAATATAACTTTCCATTCAAATAAACAAAAACAGTATATAAAAGCAAGAGAAAGTTTTAATAAAACTGTTGAAATGGTCTTTGCATTTTTGTGAAGTACTAAGAGAGTTACAGTATAATGGAACAGACTAATTCCAAATCCTAGCCAAGGAAAGAAATGGAAGCATGACACAAGGGAAATTACCCGACCTGAGAGAAAAAAGAACCATGCTAAAAATGACACACTTTTCCCCATTAATTCATCTTGCTCCAAACCTTTAACAGGAATTTTGCGTGTCGGAAATTCAAGTGGTTTCCTAATTGGGGGAGGACTACGAGGAGGAGGAGGTGGTGGAGGAAATGAAGGAGGACGCAAACTCTGAGGCTCATCAGAATTTGAATCTTGAGAGGGGAAGTTCTTTATCAATGTACGAGGATCAGTATATGGATTTTCGGAATATTGAATAAATGATTGCCTTGGCAATAGTTCTGGTGTCTGTTCTGAAAATTTTTCACTTGAGTTTTCACTGGAAAGAGAAATGGCAGCTTCGTTGATGGCTTCGGCAATTTCATTTGTGGCAATGGTCCGTGGTTGAAGATAAGGAGTTGACCCTTCAGCATCACTTCCTCTTTTCACAGATTCATCCTCTTCAGGTTCAATTGTTTTGCTTACTTCATCTTGTTGATTATCTTCAGTTGTTGTCGTATCGTTTCTGGGAGGAATGTTAGCCCAGGGTTTTAATCTTCCCAGTATTTTTTGACTTTCAAACCTTTGAAATGATACTGTTGTTGTGGCAACGATCATCAAAGATGAGGCTATACACAAAACCTGCATGGAATCTAACACAAATATTTGTTAATTATAAAATAAATAAATTAAGAATATTGCAAAAGAATACAGACATTGAAATATTATTTTTACGCTTCTTAATGCCAAATATTGAAGGGATAAGATGGGTTAATGGAATGAAGCTGCTAGAATTGGGCAAGCTTTATGAAAATATAATCAACATTCTTTCAGGAATTTTATAACAAACATCAATTGTAAGGTATTCATCTACCTCAAAATGTTGTTTTTCCATGAAAAATTGGAATTTTTGATACTTATTGTTTTTTGTGTACATTTCAATGTTTGTCTTTCTAAGTTAGTTAGTTTTATATTTATTTGTACTTTTCCGAATACACACATAAGCCACAGCACAAATATTGGGAAGGATATGCATCTAACTTTGTACAAATATGTTGCAAAGAGTGACTGTGTGACACAAGGAAACATCAAATAACTAAAAAACAGGCCACATCTGAAAGTAAAAGCAGAAAAGGATACTTCATAGCCAAGAGAATGGCGAAAGAAGACGAGGAAACTAAAATTGGAGGTGTAGTGTATAGGGCATTTTTTAGTTCATGAATCTTAATCTGGCTTTTCCCTAAAGGTACTTTTTTCTTGTTTGGCCTGACTGAACATCATAAGCCTTCTAATTTTGAAGATATTTGTATGATTCATTTTTTATTTAATAGTAGAAAGTCAATTATTCTGTCTAAACCTGAAATTGTTATAGAAAATACATTTTTGCAATAATAATTGCTTTGTTAATCAATATTGTTACCAGAAATTTGAATAAAAATATTAATTCAAACCTCTATACAGAGCATTCAAGTCTCTTGTCAATCTTTAAATTCAGGCACTAAAGTATAATTCGAACTATAATCTTAAAAAGGAATCATCAAAAAACATTTCATGAGTAATGCTGTTGAATTGAAATGAATTGATGCCATATTTTATGTGGAGAGACTCAGGTCATGAGGCTTGTTTTTCCATATGACCATGCAAATTTCACTAAGCTCCTTTCACTAAATAGCAGAGAAAGGAGGTACTTCTTGGGTGATTTCTGGGACGAACAGATAATTTTAATTTTGTTCAGAGGCTTCATTAAGGCTTGAGGATCTTTTACACACACTAAATCTACCAACATGGAACAGCCGGCTTTACTTCCCCTCCAAAGGAAGGCATACAAAGGATTTTTTTGTCCTTTAAAAATCTATGGCTTCGATCGGGTTAGAACCCGCGAACTTGGGTATAACAGTCCAATACGCCGTTACTCCATAGCTGCCGATGTTACAAATCATATCCTGTTTTTGGAATGAAAAGGGGCATATTTGTTGAAATAATGAAAATGCAAAGAAATATTTATATTTTTGACTTTTTTAATATCTTATCTTATGAGTGCGCATGTTTGAATTCAGATATATCCCACCAATAAAATTTCTAAAGCTCAGCTGGACAAATACCTTACGAATATTTTTTTTCTACAATTTAAACTACACATAACTTATAATGTATTTCAGCTTAAAGTCAATATTTAATTATAAAATAACAACACTGAATCTAATTTGGTAGCTGAATTATGTAAATCCTGATATTAGGAGTAATATTCACTTTTTTCATTATATTTTTGCTAGTGTTTTCTTAATGAAGATGAAAATGCGTAACAATTCATGATATTCCCAAACTTTCTGGCAAATAATCTAGAAACCTCCAAATTTTTAGTAGAGCTTTCTGTAGTCTTTTTCTATGTACTTGTCCCAAGGTAAGTGTCATAATTTCAATTCCTCAAAAGTTTACTTATTCAACGTTTCATTCCAGGTGCTTTTGTAAATTTAAAATTTGTATAGAATTAACTATAGTTTTGATTGTGAGTTACATAAGTCTTATTCATGATTATTCTTAAACTGTTGTTCCATATATAGATGTTTTTTAGACAACTACGTGTTATTTTGTTTCGTTCACTTTGTGATCTGTGCCAACATAAAAGCGTAGTGTCATTTGCATACATAGTAAGTTTATTTCATTTGATTTGATTTATTTATCACCTAAAAAATAATAAAAACTATGTGTGAGATTTGGTGGAAGTAATATCACCACCCCACTCTCTTACTATATGAAGTAGAAATGTAATTAAAGAGACGTGTTTGGCAACATTTGCAAATGGGACATTTTTGCTCTCAAGCAACAGAAAATGTGGTTACATCAGCAAACAAACTAGATTTGATTTTATAGTATAGCTTACAAACTAATACATAAAAGAATGTCCTGCTAGCCCAACATAACATGTAGTGAAGATACATTCAAGTTCAGAGTCAAAATAAGGGGCCACTTCAGCATTTACTCAATGCAACAAATAAAACCAGACACCAATCTTTACTGAGGTGAGAATTTAACATAGCACTAATTTTAGACTTACCAGTCTCTCGGTTATCATTATGTTCTATGTATAAAATACTAAGCTGCAAGATTGCTTGCGGAATGCCTTGAAGGTATGCATGGAGAAATAAATACAACTCGATGTGGCTGGGTCGGGTGACATTTTTAAGTGATTCTTCCCTGTTATTTCCTTGTCGGAACAATGCATCAATACTCCAAAATATAATTTTTGCATATCTGGCAACAAAAATTAATCATATTTTCATTGAATCATTAACAATAATTTAATGTATTAACAAATTGTTTGGTTAATATTAAACATGATAAAACTAAGATTATGAATAATTAAAGTTGTGAACTTTTTTTTTTAAA